TTCTGGGAAGAGGTGAAAGATAATTTGTGAGCGTTATCATTCTTATAATGCAAGCGTGGAAGAACATCAGATAAGACATGTTCCCTGAAAAGCATGGCTCTTCAAATGCCTTCATATTCTAAATATGTCATGTAAGATCGTAAAAATCCAGGGTAGGATTTTTACGCCACGTGTTCGTGTAGTCTCATATACATCTTTCTGTGTACAGTGTTTGTAACTTTACCAAGACTTGGCCAAATTTCTTATCATTTTGATGATTTCAGAACCTTGCAATACACAAAAAATCTTATATGCTAGATGATCAACCTTTTCTGATCGATTCCACACCTGTTCTTTCACAATGCAATCGCATGACCAGAACTCAACTTCTTCTTTAAGCGTGTTTCCAGCCCTTTACTTCATGGGGAAAAAAGTAAAAACGTCGGAACAATGAAACTGTGATGATCATGACAATGATGTATTTGAACAAGAAACAATTACTTTACGGAACCCTACTAGGTCGGAGTGGGAAGGGGCTGAGATTACGGGAGTGCAATTTAACATTTTGTATAATATGCTCATATCGTTTCAGATATTTACAGTGAGAAGATCTCGGAATCCTTGACAGTTCAGCAATGTCGCGAAAAGTTGAAGAAAAAGTACCTAGATCAACTGTGCAAAATTCAGATGAAGCCATGGGATCACAGTGATTTTGCTGAGTTCGAAGATATGCACACGCTAGTCACAATGGTAACGAAGGACTCTCGTGGAAAAGACACGAACAAGAAGAAAATACTGCAGGGTTCTGTTGCCGAAATATTTTCAACGAAAGTAAACGACAAACTACCCGCTCGAATCCTCATTTCGGCCCCCGCTGGAAGAGGAAAGACCACGGCTGTTGCTAAGATGGCTTACGACTGGGTTCACGGAGAAAGGGGGTCAGCATTAGAACACCTGCCACTTCTGTTTGTTGTGAAATTCCGAAACACAAGTCAGCGAACATCGATCGGAGAAGCCATCAAATCCCAGCTTTTGAGTGATGTTGATGATCTCACACCAGAGGGTCTGGAGAGTTTCATCAGAAAGAATCAGGGAATCTGTCACATCATACTAGACGGGCTAGATGAGTATGCCGGTATTTCATCTTCAAACCGAAGCTTAGGGAGCAACATTGTCGATGTCATCTGCCTGGAGGAATTTTCAGAGTGTAGAGTCCTTGTAACAACACGCCCTCACCTAGAGAGCTTCTTCAATCAAGGGGAACTTCCAAGAGTATACACAAAGATGTGGATCGAAGGATTCTCGCAAGAGAGCTCACGAGAATACATCGACAAGTTCTTTGCTTCGACTTCTAGTCCTGATAGTGGGATTGTTCTGAAGGTTTACCTTGATGAGCAGCCACTGATTAATGAGCTTGTTAAAACGCCTTTATTTTGTCTCATGGTCTGTCACTTATGGAGCGAGGGGATGTTGAACACTGAAACTGCAACTCAAACAGAATTATTAGACAGTGTAAATGATTTTCTGATGCACCATGCCAATGCCAGATTAAAATCAAAAGACGAAATAACAAAAGAAGAACTAATCGAAATCATTCGTAAACTGGGTAAGGTTGCTCTAGTTGGCCTAATAGACGACTCTAAAAAAATAGTTTTTACGCCCCATGATTTCCGAAGAGTTCCCGCTATTCATGATAGGGCATGTGAGCTTGGGATATTATCCAACATGACAATTCCAACGACAAGGCTCCCACGATCCCACAAGACCACATCCACGACTATTGAGTTTTATCACAAACTCGTTCAGGAACACTCGGCTGGGAAATACCTTGCTGCTAAAACGAAGAAATATATGTTACGACTGAAAATTTCGAAGTTGGACAGACTGCTATATAACATCAAATCAAACATCGGCGACTATGAGAATCTCATCCGATTTGCTGCTGGCACAGATAACAGACTTTGCATACGAATAATGGAGGCGCTCCTTTCCAACCGCTTTTTGGATGAGAGTGAGCGATATCGCATTCTTCTTGACTGCTCATCAGAGACCAAGGGTACTCAACAAAATGTGTCTTCATTGGTTCAAAGATGTGTGACTGCACAGAGTATTGTTCTCAAATCACCAACTGTCTACACCGTCGTTGGGATGCAAAATCTTCCAAAGCAACTTAAACGTCAGGTATGCACATTTTTATTTCACAAAATATGTTTACAATAATGATTTTATAAAGATTGTTTACATTTTCATTTCTCTGCTGCTACTATGAGTCCACTAGCTAATATATTTTTTGGAAATGTATTCTTATTCATAATAAATTGCATCGTGATATATCATACTACATGATACAACGATCAATACGTATAATACATATTCATCATCATTCTATGTTTGCCCAACTGCGGCCTCAATCAAGGTTCTGCATAACAGAAACAAGAACAATAATTTGAAGCAAAACAATAACAAAATAAAAGGTCCTAGGGTCTATTCATTTAGAGAAAAAGACGAGGGACAGTCAATATAAGCATGTAGCTTATGTCAAACATAGGAGCCGTTTATTTAACATGACAGATAAAACATGTTTTACTTTTGAATGTAAAGGAGTAGGGGAGGGAGCTCTTATTAACTACCGGATAATATTAGGAGATAAGATCAGGGTATAGTCTTTACAATGATTAACGCACACAAAAAAGTGATTAACTAATTAATGTTATTAATTCGTACAATCTTTTTTTGTAAATCTCTCTATCTTTCTATCTTAACACTAGGTTATGACTATACAGTTCGAGGGATCTACTATAACTACCGACGTAACGAGTGGACTATGGTCCTGCCTGGGATCATTTTCGATGCTACGTACCCTTACCATCTCAGACTCCTCTCTCAGTTTCTCCCCATCTCCTCCTGAGCTTCCATCAGTCACAAAGCTATCAGCCGAGAGAATGACGTCACAATGCTATGAAGGAGTGCTGTCATCGATACCTCGCTTGGAAGAGATCGATATCACTATCGGAGATGCAAAGGCAGAAGACATATCTCAGATCCAGACTAGTCTACGTCGACATCTGACAGGTCAGGATCTCACACGCATCGACCTTTCTTCTCTCCAATCAGAAGAGAATGTATCAAGCATGTCAAGACAGAGGATGGAAGGACTGGGTCTTCTGATCAGAAAACGTCAGGCAACGTTGTCCGGAGTTGCTTTCGGACTCGAGGATGCAGTGTTCGATGTGGTCCAGTCTTCAACGCGTTTAATGTCAGCTAGTCTGTATGTCGAACAGTGAGTAACTGTTTTATGTTAATTAAAATTGCTTGAAAGTTTGTTCGCCCCTCCCCTATTTTTCCCTAATTCGGCATTCAGTTGAAATGGGCCTTTTTACTTCAATGGGTAGGTCGATGTGTTAAACCAGTCCATTAGTTTCCACTGTAGCCGATTTAACTTGAATAAAGGATTCATTGAGTATCAAAGATGATACTGGTGTTATGTTAATACAAAGGTCATGTAATAATTTGCTTCTTGTTGTTATGTTTCAATACGGTGATAAGAAGAACCTGCTTTCAGTATCAAGGCTGAACATAATTAATACACATTATTCTCAACGTTTTGAAAAAGATGTCAAGGCGGATAATTTAAAAAAGATCTTAAAGAATCAAATAACTAAATCATCTTATCATTAATGATGTTAACCTAAGAAGAAAATGGTTTGACTTTTGACAGATGTAAATCGGTTCTATTATGTAATTTGTTATATACAAATGTTTAAAATTACTGCTTGTTCCCCCCCCCCCTCCCACTTCTTCATTTCTCTTTTAAATGATATAGGTTTTCTGGTCGCTAAACTCCGATGAACATGTATTGAATGTAAGTGTGCTCTAATTTTAAATATCCATACGCCTTATTTGTTTCCTAATATTTAAGAAAGCATTTCACACTTCCTACCGAATAGGGAGTTGGATTATCATAAATAATATTCTTTGAAATAATGAATTTAGTTTAGTTTGGTATGTATTCATATTTCACACTTGACGTTTTACATTGTCAGATTCCTTTATGCTAGAAATATAATTATATTGACAATACACAGGTATTCGCAATAAACATAAGTGCATAAAATGTATTAAATTACTTTGGTTTGCTTGTAGTTAGTTGTGAATTAAGAACTAATAAAAACATTAAAATGGGGATATTAAAGGACCTAAGGTAAACACATAGCTTGTTGGCTATAGGCCGCGTAGCATTTTAAAATTATAACTCTAAGAAAGTTGTGGAAAGGAACGAAGTACAGTTCAAAAAATGCATAAAGCAGGTATATCGTTTCCCAATTATAGTGTAGATCTTGCCTATTCTAAATTGAAAAAAGATAAAAAAATAATAATGAAATCAGCCAAACGTTTTAAATATAAGATTGTACCTAATAAATCAACTAAGATTGGAAACAGTTCTAGTTCTTAGTGCGTGTCGATCGATGAGATCAGATGATTAGGATTCTATGAAGTTTTTTTGTCAATGCCGTTCCCGGATTCCGTTTCTTTCCTCTCAAAACCTTGAACGATATGTTTCTTTAATGAAATTTATTACTACTTGTAGTTTTCTAATTACTCTATTATGTTCTTTCTGTATGTCATCATAGATTGACACGTTGAAGATCAATGACTGCCAGCTATCAACTGAGATAACCAAAACGTTGTGGTCTTGTCTCAGATCCTTCACCTCACTGAACCATCTCACCATCTCAGACTCCTCTCTCAGTTTCCCTCCATCTCCTCCTGACCTTCCACCAGTCACAAAGCTATCAGCCAAGAGAGTGACGTCACAAAGCTATGAAGGTCTGCTCTCATCGCTACCTGGCTTGAGAGATATCGATATCACTATCGATGATGCAGAGAGAGACATACCTCAGATCACGGCTGGTCTTCGTCGGACCGGAGGACAGCGGCTCAAAGACATTACGCTTACAACACTGAACTCATTCCGATCAGCGAAGAACCGTGTATCGAGAGAGACGATGAGAGGACTGGGTCTACTGATCAGAGAACAAACCAATAACCTGCAGCGGCTTCTGACCTATGTGAAGTGCACAGACGAGGAAGACTTGGTTTACCTCATCGAGTGCTGCAGACGGGTGAAGACGATGTCATACGTGTGGTAGGTTCTTGTTCAAATCGTGTATAAGATAGATTAAAATCCTACTAGATTATTCTATTCAGTTACTCTGCAGTAGTAAAGCATAACGATACGAATGCGTGAAGGGATGAACAGGTTGAAACTTAGGTGTAACTTCCAAGTTTTTGACTGACAGTTAGAATGGGTTTTGATTATCGCTCTCAACTGTTATTTTATAATTTTTAAGTAGCAATGAATAGAATTTGATTGCCTGTATTGAAAATCCAAAATTGTAATATGCAGTTGAATGTATTATTAATATTATGCACCGTCGGAAGCTAAATTAATGTAAGTCCATGTCCCGGGGTCCATGTTGACTTAAAATACAAATCATATCCTTATAAAACTAATTATTATTATTATTACTATTATAATTATTACGATTATCATTATTATCATTTTAACATTCTAGCCCATAATTCGACTTATAATTTTTGAACTTTCAAAGCTTAAACAATGCTAAACTAGAGTAAATTACTAGTTTTCGCACCCCCCCCCCCCCGCCGGAGGTTGATACATGATCTAAAATTAATTTCGATTTTAAATATCTTTGAATATTTTTTTTTTTAGGCTGAATCACTTTTGGCTTAAAACTGATGCTGGTGAGCTGTTTCATTGAATCAAATTCAAGCTAAAATCGATGTTGATAAATGTTAGGTTAAATGTAAAGGGCTCCGATCAAGGCTAGTCGATATTAGGTCAATCAACAACAAAAATTGCGTCGCTGAACTATTTCAAGAGAGGTCCTCAAAAAGTAAGTAAATTCAGTTTTTTCTTCTAAAATATTCATTCTGTTGATAACAACTTGTTATTTTGGCAGAAGGAAAGTATTCCTCTCAGTTTTAACCGAACGATATTTAAAATAAATATCAACTCATACTAGTAATAATAGGGTCTAACATTCCCCAACTGAGCTAAGAAAAAGATGGACGAATTGCACCGGTTCATGCATTTCCGTTCATATAAATTCATGCATGTCCATCTGTACTTGTCTAACGACGTTGAATATTTGGTTAGAACAGGTCCAAATTCATCAAGAAATATCGTTTATTCTTGCATTTGATAACAAAATAAGTCCACCAGGGCTCTAGGAGTCATCGTTGTGTATGGTTGCCGAATGCCGATACATTTAGTGGCAGTGCTTATTTTTGGAGATTTAGGCTAGTACTAGGCCTAGAGTCTAGTTAGATTCCAAATCTACTTTTTGTGCCGGTAGGCAGTGCGGTGGCCCTTCTTTTACGTTGATAAACAATTAACGAGATCATTGTTTTAACGTTAACATTTTATGAAATAAAACTGGTCTCCACAGTTTCAGACCCAAGACCAAGTTAGATCTTGATTACAAATATGCTCTTAGATCTAATCATTTAGTGTACATATATGTAGGGTAGATGTAGTCTCGACCTAGTCTCTACACTGCACCATTTGTGCAGGATTAACTTATGATATAGTCACATTACCCAAAAGTAGCCTGCTCGGCGACCGAGCTGCGAGTTTTTAACCAATTCTGCCCGGCGGCTGGCCGGCCACCGAGCGGCGCACAGTGGGCCAGAACCGCCTCAAAGTGTGCCAAAATTAATTTCTCATTGAAGAAGGTTAATGAAGTTCCTGGTTAAAGTTTATAAGGGGTTTTCAGACCCATAGAATTCGATGGGAGTATTTTCAAATACGTGTGACGTCATCAAAATACTGTTTTCTGATTGGACAAGGCAAATATGCATTGTAACACATAGACAGATTCATATTACACTGATTAGTGGAACTAATAAGGGGTTTCTGGACCTAAGAAACACAATACACCAGTTTACAGTTGTGTGCGCCATTTTAATTGGCGATTAAACAAAGCCAATGACCTAGAGGTCATGTATTTATGCGTAAATTAAGATTGCGCCCATGCAAATTATGATGATATCACTGCCTGCGCGCTGCGTTGTGCGCGCATATCATCATTTGCATGGGCGCAATCTTAATTTACGCATAAATACCAGAGGTCAGAGGTTATTGGCCCCGGAACAGGGCCAAATTGGCCCTGTTCCGGGGCCAATGACCCGAGGTCAACTGTCTGCTCATGCGCACTGATACAACTGTAAACTGGTGTATTGGAGCATTTTCAAATTTCTCTGACGTCATTAAAATACTGTTTTCTGATTGGACAAGGCAAATATTCATTGTAACGCATAGACATATTCATATTACACTGATTAGTGGAACTTATAAGGGGTTTCTGGACCTAAAAAACACAATTGGAGCATTTTCAAATTTCTCTGACGTCATTAAAATACTGTTTTCTGATTGGTCAAGGCAAATATTCATTGTAACGCATAGACAGATTCATATTACACTGATTAGTGGAACTTATAAGGGGTTTCTGGACCTAAGAAACACAATTGAAGCATTTTCAAATTTCTCTGACGTCATTAAAATACTGTTTTCTGATTGGTCAAGGCAAATATTCATTGTAACGCATAGACAGATTCATATTACACTGATTAGTGGAACTTATAAGGGGTTTCTGGACCTAAGAAACACAATTGGAGCATTTTCAAATTTCTCTCACGTCATTAAAATACAGTTTTCTGATTGGAAAAGGCCAACATGCATTGTAACACATAGACAGATTCATATGACACTGACTAGGGAAACTTTTCAGGGGTTTCTGGACCTAAGACGCACAATTGGAGCATTTTTAAATTTCTCTCCATAAAAGTGTCCGGCATAAACTATTTTTAGTCCACTATTTTCGTATTTACAAACTACTTGTTTTCTGTTTATTGTATCGTGTTTCCCTTTCCATATGAATTTAAAGAATGAGACATCGATTGATTTCAGAAGATGTTCAAGGGATTTGGAATATAATCAAATAAATGATTATGATTTAAAAATATGAAATACCCTTGAACGTTTTATAACGTTTTTGCCATATCTCTATGTATGGGTCCTTTTGCTTCTCATTACGAGTCACTGTCTGGAGAATCATTGTCTTGAATGACCCGAAAGTCTTTCAGCATCTCTTGGACTTCACGTGGCAGGGTTCTTGTGGTGACACGACATTTGCTCCTGCGACAATTGCTCCGGGCTTTATTTCGTCTAAGATGTAGGGTTAGGGTTAGGGTTTCAATAGGGTTTTATGTTAGGTTTAGGGTTATGTTTAGGGTAGGGTATAGTGTTGAATCCAGGGTTGAAGTTAGCCATTCGATTAGTGTATGAAATTTACAGCGGAGCAATTGTCGCCGGAGCAAATGTCATGGAAAAGACAGATGGCAACATCGCCTGTAACCATAAGACGGTGGAACACGTCACTCATATTGTCTACTCTTGATGTCTTTCTTGCAAATTTCCTTCTGTATACCTTGTTGTCCTTGTTTCTGGCTTCTTGAGCTTCTTCGCTCATCATCCCGATCGGTAGAACTGAACAAGCAAGAATGGTAGAGCCGTGAAGCAGCAGGACATGTACACTCACAGGCATTTTATACCATGGGTAGAGTTGTACATAGATTTCTGCTGTTCTGCGACAATAGTCTCCAAATCGTACTGGATTTAGAGAGGATTTGCAAGAAATTGCTACTAAGATCATGTGAATCCTATGTACTAAGTTCAAATCTAACCCGCAAATGTCAGCAAAGGTGTCCTCCTCTTGGAATGCTCTGAGTGCAGTGTTCCCATCGTTTGTATTTCCCGATCCTTGTTTCGGTTCATCTACTTTAAGACCCATTTCCTCTTTGAAGCGATCGTGTATTTTCTTCTTCTGAGCAGCGACGACAGCTTTGTCATTTTCAGTTGAAACACGCCACTTTTTAATCGTAATTCTGTAAGCAATGTGAATACACATCTCAAAACATCTGATCCATTTATGTAGAGGTGAGAGTCCAAAGCTATAAGCTTCCTCATTTGACGCGGAGGGAAGTTTCTCTATGTCATTGAACTGTTTGGGAGTAGCCCCACAGACATAGCATCGCAAAGATGACTTGGTTTCTGTCAGAGCATTCACGACTTTTTGATCTACCATGGTGAAGTGCAATTCATAGTTAATCTGTATGTTGTAGTTCCTATTTAGATCTGCTGCCAGCTCATAATCAATGTCCAAAGATACGTTCATAGGTTGCAATTTCTTGATTTCATCTTGAACAGATCTATACTCTTCCTGAGAGAGTTCAGTTGTTTCTTTCTTGAATTGAAGATGAATGGGTCGGCAAAATCTTGACGAAGAAGGAACCGGATTTTGCCACAAAATACTGTCTTTTACCTTCAATTGCAGCGGAACTAGAGTAGTGCAGAATATGCTGCTGTCATCCAAAGTACCTGCAGTAGAAAAATAAAATTATTATGTCAGAAATGCATAATCGTGTACAGCAAACATGAATTCAAAATTACTTTAAAATTTCATCAGAATGAAACTTAAAATGTTATACTCATACATCATGTACGTCCAAATGTATCTATATTATCCCAACATGGAGGCTTTGATTATTTATTTTATCAAAACATAAAATATCATTGCTCATAAGAAACATATATAATTATCAGGAAATAAATATTAATGGAAACCTAAGCTTGTTTAATTGTTGCAGCATTAAAACCATGTGTTTTTATTTTACTTAAGATATGTCCTTTTTTTATTTGTTTCATGAATCAGCTTTAATGATGATGTTGGTCTCTCTGATAAAAAAAGAATAAACGCATTTAGCTCTGTAGGGTGGAAAGGAGAAAACACGTACCTGCAGTAGACTTCTGTTTGTATTCACTGTGGCCTGATGAGCCGTCAAAGCCCCATTTGCACACCAATTCACAATTGAACTGTTCATCTTCTTCTAAATTTTCAATGACTTGCGTGATAGTGTCCTTCTGCTCCTGAATTATCCGAAGTGCAGTGTGGTCTAAGAGGCTTTGGAGGGGTACTTTCCCAGAGTCTTCCGTGACTGAGATGTCATTGGGATAACATTTTTCCTTAGCTTTCCTAATCTCGTTATACGGTGGATAAATATCAGCATTTTTACCTTTTGCAGCAAGTCTGGTTGTTTGGTATGCCTGTTTTGTCATTCCTGTTTCAACTAAAAGTGACAAAGCTTCTTCACTTGAGAATTTTAATGGTTCTTTCTTTTTTTCTGATATCAGTTTCCTTATTTTAGCTGGTCTTGATGGTGTTAGCATTGCGAATTTCAACACATATTTCAAACTTGAATTTTTCTTATACACGCATTGAGATGCCGCATATAGAAGTTCCTCTGGTTCCCTGTCTCCTAGAAGGTGGTGTGCTTTTCTTTTTTTAGAACGATCTGAGAGAGTGTCCCAATTCTTAGCTGGACGTCCCACATTGGATGCGCCCTGTGACGTGCCTGGCAAGTCTGAAGTTGGCTCTGTTTCTGTCCCGGTATCTGTGCTGTTTTGCTGTGCAAAAAAATGTTTCTACTTCAATATTGAATGTCAATGTCTGATTAAGCCAGTCCTCGTTTCCTTTCATGAAATATTCCTGGCGACGCCCACACTTGTTCCATTTCTCTCGCATACGATACAGAAAGCGTCCAATAGTCTTTGACAAACTCTTGAGAAGTTTTTGTGGGATGTTTGACTTGTTACCCACATTATGATATGCACATAATGCATCAATGGATGTTTTGGATGCCAGTTTGATGTCTGAAATGAAGCCAGCTGAATGCACAGCATGAAAAAGCTGTCTTCTTAATACCACCATCGTTTATTTCAATCCAAGTTCTCCTAGAATGATATCATATATGATTGCGAATTGCATCAACGTGTGAAAGCAATATACACTACGCTACACGCTCTACACTCACGTAACCGTTGCCATGGTTACGCGGACGAGCGTTGAATCGGTTGTGCGTAAACAATACAACATTTTACCGATTATGCCTAATAATAATCGATGGACGTGGGGAGGAAAAGCGCCTGCACATGCAGAGTCGCAAATTCTGGCAAAAAGAAATACCATACATGGAAAGCTTAGGTTTGGGCGGACATTTTAAGATTAACATCACTGCGGGAATCGGCCGGAATCCTAATTAATATGCTACTTTTATATACAAATTGCATTTTTCCCCTTTTTTGTGTGAAATTAAATGCTCATTTTTCCCAAATGAAACTTCCATAAATTTGGTCATTGTATTTTCTAATTGGGTTACCAATAGGCAAGAAGTGCACGCAGTATCAAGTTGATTGCTTTTCCCTTCATACATTCTCAACACCTAGTATAAAGTTACCTTTTTTATCATTTTTGGAGCAACATATAGATTTTCCCATGTTCGCAGGGGTATATGACACTTTTAAAACTCGCTAAATATTACAATATGGGTGGAAAAATATTCTTTAGAATGTTTTCTTCCCAAAGCGAATGAAAAAAATATAAAAATTCACATTCGCCAATTTTGAATTTTGGCACACTTTGAGGCGATTCTGGCCCACTGTGCGGCGGCCGCCCAGGCACCGCTCGTTGTTAGGGCATCGCTCGATCACCGCTGAAGTTTTAGCGCGGAGTTAAAATTTGGGCGGCGCCTGATCACTTTTCACTCGTCGCCCAAAATACGCTCGGTGCCTGGGCACCGACCTAATCGCTGGGCGATGCCTAATTCCAGCAGCGACCGAGCAGGCTACTGATCGGTCGATCGTTGCTCTGATTTGTGACCATAGCTTTAGATACGTTAGAATTTAGAGATTGTCCGTTTCTAGACTACTTACTAGATCCAGTCTACATCTAACAGTAACAAGTAATACATTTTAGACTAGATGAAGAATGTTATGAAGTCAGTAGTAGGCTCATTTATCGAGCTCTATATTTTGTTTGTCTTCATTTTGTTTGTCTTCATTTCATTTATCTTTCAGAGTCAGAGATGGAGTGGACCTGGACTCTTGAGTCATATCCAAGAAATAGACCTCTATAGTCTTCAACGTCTCTCATCCTACCTCTGCCCCGAGGAAAGGATTTGGATCTGCATAATGTAATCTGATTCAAGGTGTACTGCAAGATCCTACCATACTAAGTGGCCTTTCGATGTGATTATCTTAGCAAAGTTTGAACACCGACATTAAATAAGGGTGATTTTCTTTTTCTTCTTCATCTTCCAGACCTACATATAAATAAATTACTAACTTGTTGTTGAGTTTATAGTTTTGATATTCATTTATGATAAAGGGTTAAGATACCGGATATTGGGTTTCACATTAACAACCTGAAAATTCGGTGTTCTTAATTTAAGAGGAAGCCAACCATGACAGGTCAAAAACAAAGATAAATTACTAGATCAGCCAGATTTGTTATCAATATTGTACATAGAATAGGGCAGCAGTTAAAGTATAAAGATGTGATTGAACAAACTCTAATGAGCGTACAGCATGATGTAAGCTGCTTTTTGTTTGTTATATACCTTTTAAGGCATCTCTTTTCCTTCTATTCCCCAGAGGGTAACTTTAATCAATCTTTGTACAATAGGGTTTGGTTCAGGATCAGAGTATCCAAGATTAAGATTAGACTGTTGTAGAGTCAGATTACAAATGAATGCTCAAATTCAAGATCAACACATTCAATATCGAGATTTTAAAGAAATGTTTGGGATCAAAATCAAAATCAAGATGAGTACAAAATGTGTATTATACAAAAATGGTTCCAAATTCCATAGTCCAATTTATACAATTATCACATTTTCTAAAACTTTCAATGTGGTTAATGGCATAGCGGTTTGACCCAAATGCATTAAAATTACAAAATAATAGAATCACTGATGAAAATGTACTTTTGTTCAGTTGAACACATTAGATTAGGTAAAGTGACAACTATTTTTCTAAGAAATATATTTGCTCTCTTTATGGTACATGTTTATCTCTATTTTAAATCTTAGATTGGAAAGTAAAGAGCTGTGCCATCTACATGAACTGCAAACTCATGGCATCTGGACTTGTATACCTAAGGTCTAGTCCATCTCTTCAAGTTGAAAAGGTAAGCGGTATCAGTTAACATAATCAATCTTATTAGTATGTTTTGGTGCCTGTGATCATTACCATGCCCCTACAGCAATCAATAATAAAGAACTTTTTTTAAAGTAAGTACATCTCTCATAGTCCTTGTTATCCGATCTATTGTATAAAACATAAACAAATGGTTATGATAAAAAAAAGTGGTCAAAAGCCTACAAATGAATTATTTATTATCTTTTCTTTGCTTAACTTAAACTGCTTTCGTATCAATATTTGTAAAGAATATTCTTTATCATTCTACTTTATTTATTTTTCAATCAAAGAAATTGACATGACCAGAAATACAACAGTTGTAGAAAGATTGAACAATTAAACTCGTAGTTATTAATTGTTTTATTACATAACTTTCTATTCCAAATTCTAGACTGCAAAGCCTGAATCCCCTGCAACATTATGCTTCATATGGAACATCAGCCAGCCTACAGATACAAGCTCCCTTTCCAGCTCTAAGCAAGAGGGGCCACAATGCTAAACAGTTTGTGGACTTGTCGCTTATTTCATCTACGACTTCCATTGATACAGATTTTCAGATTAATTCATCTGAAGGTATTAAAAATGCTTCAGTCAGGGTACCATGGGTTTGCCATCAGTTTGCCATGAGTATGAGATTATTGGTTTGATAAGAATTCATCAAGTAAGGTCTAAAGGAACTAAGATTTTCAATGATACTTCCAAGAATTCTATTATTTTAAAAAGAATGTCAGAATCTTGCAAAAGAAAGAGCAAAATACTAGTTATAGGATAAAGGATAAAACTAAAGTCATTATCCATATTAAGTTAGCGCTGCTATTTCAGCCTGCACTTTTGAGAAATATCTTATTAAGGGTTGTTGCTGATTTTAAAATCTATGATTCTGTCATGGAGGTTTACTGTTCTTAAACTTACATTACATAGACAAATCCGTTCATGGTGATGAATCTTAAAATATCAAATTGGAAATTTCAAAGAGGCAAATTAATCTGAGCACTAGTGGATACATTTGAGGGCCTATTTGGAACTCTCCCTAGAGGTTTTGTTGGCATGACCATGTGTTAAGCGTTGGTCACATCCCACCGTGCGTGTTTTTAGTCCGTACGGTTTTTGGGGAGGCCACGGCCGCCACGTTTTTTCTGAAAACGTAGGGAGGGAGTGGCAAAGGCAGGGAGGGAGTACCGGCAACGCGCGTCACACGCACTGTGTAAGTACGTGGCCCGCACGCCACGCCTGGCCGTGAACGGTTGCGTGCATCGTACGTTGCGCACGTGGTAAGTGCTTACAACGTGCTTACAACGTACGGTCTCCGTGCGGTTGCCGCATTATCGTACGGAGGCCGTACTTACAAGTGCTGCTCACGTACGGTGTCCGTACTCACTCGTATGTTGTAGGTGCGTGCACGTGCGATGAACTCGGTGTATATATAGGACGACATTCCGATGTTCTCCAGAAGTCCCAGCTGTTGCTGCCTCAAGATGCCGCCCATTCCACCGAAGAGACTAAATACTGCATAAATCAGAGCGAATAACGTGTGTTGTAAGTGCTTACTCGGTACGGTCCACGTGAGTTCTGCGTGCTCATTGGATAGCTGAACTGGGGAAGTGGCGAGTAAGCACGGACCACGCACTTATCACGTGCGCCTTTAAAAGACGCACAGAGTCAGTGCGTTGTGCGCTCGTTGGCAGTACTGGGCACGCACGTCACACGCACTGGGGGTGAATCGGTAGTCCGAACGCAGCCCGAACGCAGCGAAAGTTCCTCGTGCCCTAAAAGTGCTACGGTGTGTCTGCGTGCTCCCAAATCCGTACGGAGGCGGTACTCATCACGTACGGATATCCACATTTTGCCCACGTTTTTGCACGTAGACAGCACGCACTTGCAAGTACGGCGGGATGTGACCACCGCATTAATGATTACTTGTTGATGCCTCAATTTAATATTTTCATCATTTGCCTAAGAACAGCATAAAAATAAACAACTGAATAAAGTTTTTGCAGTGAAAACAGTTTGGCAGGAAATGATATCAACTCGGATTTATATTGTCCTTAAAAATGTTCAAATCTGATAGAGAAAATTATAATTAACTTAAACTGGTGTATCATGAAAACACATTTTCACAAACTGCATGACCTCACATGAGAATGTGTATATGCCTTAAATTAACAACCATATAGGTAAGACCAATCTTTAGCACTAATGTTATTCCTTTAATCTCCATCAAATTACACCGAGTAGACAGTGACATTTATTAGCTGCAATGGCTTACAACTGGCTGTATGTCATGAAAGGAATTTTTTCCAGGCGAGAAGGGAAATGTACTACTCAAAGGAAATGTACTACTCTAAGGTCAATTAGAGGTAGCCAAGCGTAGGATGCATTATTGCATACATTTACATTTAACACACACAGTATATGGGGTTTTTTATATGCATGAT